CTTCACAGCCTGTACCTGCCCAGGTCAGCCCCGCCTCCAGAAGGGGTCCAGCAGGCTCCCTTCCTTCCACCTGTCACTGACAACTCCATTCTGAACACTGCTCCTGAAACCAGTGAGTGACTGAAAGCACTCTATGCCGACAAATAATGTCGATTTAAGACCATATGGTTTTAAATCCTACACATGCTCATACAAGTATATACAGCTACAATTGTTTGTAATGCAACCAATCTCAGGCTAGCAAGTTAATAAGCAGGTTCCTCTAGGAGAGACACCTTGGGCCAAATGAGTGTGGTTCAGAATGGCCATCGTTGGCAGACAGCAGGGCTGAGAACAAAACGGCCTGTACAGCTCTGATTTTCTTAGTGCTCACTGTCATTCTGTTTCATTCATTCGATTCATTTTTCTAAGACATGGAAAACATTTATTTAGGCCACGAATGCCAGCTTCTTCACACAAGGTACGACCACAGACATTTCTGGTGACAGTGGCCAAGTTAAAAGACCAAAAGCTCCCAGAATCTCCAAGTGAAATCTCTCAATCTCCCACTGCTTAATACAGCCACCTGGTTTCTCTATGGAAATCTACCCCGAGAGGGCCCCGGAGAACAACCCTTTTATGTGCAGAGAGACTTTAACAGCCAAGTAATTAAACCCTGAGCGTAAGGGTTTATAATTAAAATGCTGACAAACCTGAACTAGAGTGGCATAAGGTGGGCTGCTATAATGTTTTTACAATTCCTTTTTATACATAATGTATAATCCTTCCGCTCAAGTTTCCTCTATGTTCTTTGCCTGTGAAATAATTTACATTAATAAATAATTTATTACCATAACTCCTAAAGTAATTATGGGTTTCCATGCGATTTTTTTTTAGCATATGAATTGTTTTGTTCTCTGTCCATGGACTAGTATTTACAAGACTTTTCCTAGTGGCCTTTTTGAAATAATTGGTATGGCCCTTGCTTTCTTGCAGCTTTAAGTAATTTCCAGGTCTTCTCTCTGCCTGAACGGTGGGATAAATGAAATGTGTGGTATCCATTGTCCCCATGACACAGAACTCATTTAATGACTGCAATTAACCGAGGATGGTGAATGAAGCCTGTTCTCACCCCACTTGCCCTGCTATACCAAGGAAGACTAAACTGGTACCCGAATGACCCTGCACCAGCACCTCCCAGAGTAAGTGGCAGAGCATCAGGGACTACTTCCATGTTAGGCTTTGCGTGTAGCCCCTTCCTGGCCCACGGGGAGTCACACCAGGAACAGGGGGTGGAGCCCTGCCTGGCTAGCTGACCAGAGGATGGGCTGTACCACAGAGCTGCCACCTGACCCTTGCTTCCTGTGACAAGAACACAATTCTCGCTCATAGATGGCTCTTCCCCAGACAGCTGTTTGCTGCGGAAATTCTGCTTGAGCAGAGAAGGTGGGCTGGGGGTGACCTGGGAGATGAGAAAGGAAACTGAGAGGGCAGGTGTGGCCTCCGATAGAAGGAGCAGCGACAAGGCCAGGCGGGAGCCTAATGAGGGCCCTGGGCCGGGCTCTCCTCTGCCCGCTTTCTCCCAGCCACATTTCACCCTCGCTTTGTTCTCTCCTCAAAATTGGAAAAGTACAAAAACACTTCTTTGTATCAAGTTTCCAAACCAGGGTGTGGGGGTCAAGGATAGAAAAGGAGCCTGGGACCCCACTTTAATCAACTGCAAAGCATACTTTTTAAACAATGTTGGGAGCCCTGGATTATATTGTAATGAGCCCATTTTATCTAAGTGGGTGCAGAGGAGGTTCTGCCAACTGGAAGGCTGGCGTTCCACACAGCAGCAGCAGAACTCACCCCTGTACTCCCACCTCTAAGACACGTGCCAGGATTTTCTTCGGGACATTTATGAAACATGAACTCACGCTGGCTTCCAGCTAGGACCCTTGCCTGGAGTTAGGAGGGAAAAACCCTGAGCCACAGGGCCAACTGCCCCCAGCTCTCATGGGAGAATTCCACTGATCAAGGCCAGCACTGAGCCCTTTATCTGCAGGAGACAGGCTGGGGGCTGGTGATTATAATAATTTGGCACTTTATCTCTGCTCAGCATTGTCCAGTGCTGGAAGGGCCCAAAACTCTCTTGAAAAGTCTGGCCGGCCCCTTGGGGTGTTCTCTTCCCTGCTATTGAAAGGGAGGCACACCCAAGATGAAATCTCACTGCCTGGGGTGCACTCCCAGTTTGTGTCAGCAGTGCAAGGTGAGGCCATGAAACCTCCATTCACACACTCAATGGGCTGGGACGGTAATGTGATCCTGCACCAACTCCACTGAACTCAGGGAGGCCTCCGACAGCTGCCACTCCTGCCTGAGCAGGTGTACGGAAGGGATGGAGGCAAGAGAAACCTATGGGGCACTGCATCTCTGTGTCCTCACAACACCTATGCTTTGTTAGAGGAGATGACAAGCACAGAAGATGGGAAACGTGTCCTTTCAGCCATCTCCATCTTGGCAGATGGCCCAGGCCACAGGGAATTCCTTGTCATTTTCCCCACCAGGCAGAAAGCTACTTGTGGGGAGGCCAGGGTCCCATTCACTCTGCCCTGTGCTCAGTACCTGGCACTAGATTCACAGTTACTGTTTCTAAAACAAGTCCCTGAAGTAGCTGGGTGACACATGCTGTCACATAGGAAAGGGTTCTCCTGAACCGAGGAGACTGGGCTGCAAAAAGATGAGGCGTGTGGGGGAAAGAGGCGGAGCAGGGCCCAAACATGCCACTGAGTCACCACCTGGTCCCCTGGCTGGCAGGGCCTCAGCCCTGACCGATAGGGCCTGTGGAAGAGTCAGTGGGAGGTACTGGGACAGGGAGAGAAGACTTCCAAAAGGGCCACTCTGTAAACCAGAGTCTGGAGATGTGCTCAGTACCTCCCAGACGCCCTAGGCCTTGCTGGTAGGAAGCAGGATGCTGGGTCTCGCAGTCTCAGTCAGACCATCCTGGGCAAACTGAGCTTGTGGCTGCATGTCTCCCTCCCCAAGGCCACAGCCTGCACAGGGGAAGACTCACCTACACTCCCTTTTCCTAAGGTGCATGATGGGGAGCGAGTTCCCCAGCAGGAGCTGAAGTGCCTTTTAACTGTGTGAACTAGAGAGGTCTGTTCACAACAGGTTGTACAGTCCTCAAGAGCCGACAAGGTGGGTGCCGTCACAATGGCCATTCTGCTGAGGAAGAAACTGAGGCCCAGGAAAGTTAGCAGCTCAGCATGACTATGGGAGCCCCAACGCTGCCATCACAGCCCCTCGATGGTCCCCCCCTTATTGCAGCTCACACAGCAGAAACACCAGGGAAGCACAATGGAGGAGCAGCCTGGACATCCATCCTCATGCCCGGCTCCTGGTCTGCTCTGCTGGAACTGCAATCTGGGGTGGGGTGGGTGTGCACAGAGCCACTCCTCTTTCTCAGCATGCTAAGGAAGGTAGCTCAGCTCTGCACCATCCCAGTGTTCAGACCAGGCAGAAGGTTTCTAGGCCCTGTGCAAGGGGGTGGGGGTTGTGAAGCTCTGAACCATCAAGGAGGCATACAATTAATTACATGGAGACAGGTGTCACATTTTAGGGAAAGCAAGGCCCAGCAATCTTCTCCCCTCACTTCCTCTGCCTGGAAGAAAATGGTGGCCATAATATCAGAGAAGACTGTGAAGGAAGCAAAAGATCTTCTCCCCATCTGAGCCAATTCTGCCTCCCAAGGTACCTTAGGGAGAGTGTCAGTTTATTGGGCCTCAGTTTCCCCTACAAGAACGAGTACCTGCCTGACCCTGAAGCTGCGAACAAGGAGCCCAACACAGCTGTGCCCGCCAGCACAGCACCCAACACAGACCCAGTGCCCTCCACACCTGTGGTCTCATCTACAAGAAGAACCTCAAAAGAAGGAAAACAGGGGAGGGAGGAGTTGGGCAGGTGGGGAAAAACAAAGGAGGGGGTAACAATGCTCGACAGGAAATGTACTCATTACCTTACTCATGTAATTGTAACCTCTCTGTGCAGTATCTTTACAATAAAAAAAAAATTTTTTTAAAGAAGGAAAAGAAGCCACTGGATACACAGTGAAAGGACAAAGAAAAGAAGGCAAGGATGATGTCTGAATCTGAAAACCCAATTGTCTAAAAGCCTGTCTCTGACTCTTTGCAGATGTCAAAACCCATGTGGCAGGACATCCTAAAGAGACTTAGACAGCTGAAGGAGACCCTGTACCGTATCATGACTACCAAGAAATCCACATCAGCAGCACGCTTATCACTGCCCCAAAAGAGAGAGCAATTGTCCCAAGTACAGAAACGGGATGCAGGCACCTTTCTAGGAGGCATATCAGCAATACGAACCAAGACCCTTGGTCGAGGGCCTCTGACCTCTGAGTTCCCCTTCTGGGACCAATCTGAAGCAACAGTCCAAGAGACAAAGACTCAGACACTGAAAATTACTGTTAACTATAACAACAAATTCAACAATCAACCCAATGACGACAAAAGTTCCACCCTTCAAGACATTTTGATAAGCTGCACAAGTTGGTACTACAGACGATTAGCATGCATGGAATGAATCACTCACTGTCATGCTGTGGGAACTACCAAGTGAAAAAGCCAACAAAGGCAGTTTATATAATCATATGTTCAATGCAAAACACAAATATACACAGGATTTTCAGCAGTAGGTGTCACTGGGAATTGAAGCTATAAGAGACTTTTTAAAATTTCCTATATTTATGGTACACATTCTGAATTAAAAAATCATCACGAAACATTTTAATAATCAGACAGAAGGCTCAAGGTTAAGAGCGGGACATGGCATTTTTCTGTCCTTTCATTCACCTGTCCCACCAGCCCCCTGGTCCACTTGAGAACTGCTGGGGACCAAAACAGAATACACGTTAAGAGTCGGGTGCTCTTCTGAAACCTGGGTGCAGACAGGTTTGCTCTGGGCTTCTCACCTGGCTGGAAGGACTAGAGGAGAACGACCCACGCAGCATGGCTACTCACCCATAATTCCACAAGAGAAAAGGGTAGGTCCTTGACTCATCTTCTTTGGCGTGTGCTGAAAACAACCAGAAAAGCTATTCACTCTTCAAGTCATCAGAAGCACGTTTGCACATGACTCTGCACTCATCTCTTGTTAAAGTCACAATTAAGGAGGAATTGCCCTTTGCCAGTGTGGGTTGGGGAAGGGAGAAGAAAATATCCCAAGAGACACTATCTGTGCAGGATCAGGCCTGGATTCTTTTTTCCAAGTCTCCAGAGAGTTATGGACCTGTTAGATGAAAGGGGTTGAAGAACACACAGAAAGCCTGTGGCTTCTGCCATGAGAGGCTTTCTCCACTCGGGGGGGGGGGGGGAGGTGAGCACAGGAGATGGTGCTGTGAACAGTTGGACAAACTGGGGAGAGGCTGAGCAGCGAAGGGCAGGGGGTCCTCTCCCACTGCCAATCCCTGGCTGGGAGATGCAGGACACCACTTTTCCATCTGGAAGCACTGGCCTGGCCTCCACAACTGCTCCACTCATCCCCTCTGAACTGGTTCCACTAAGCCTCAATCTGAGAGCTATGGCTTCCGGTCTGAGTGCCATACTGCCACACAGCTTCCCTTTCCACTGTCAGCATTCTCCATCTTCCCTTCAGCCCACCTTAGCCTCATCTGAACACCATGGCCACTGCCTGAAAACCAGGCCAAGCAAGCCTACAAGAGCCCAGGACCTAGGCACTTGCCCCATGGCTACAGAGCAAGCTGGGTGTGGAATATTCTGGGGGTTCCTTGTGCAAGCTGGTGTCCAGGTCAAGGAGCCTGTTCTGCCAGCTTGTGAGGAGGGAGGCACTCAGGAACCCAGGAAGGTCTGCCTCAAGCATTCCAGAGACCACCCTCAAGTCTCTCATTTAGCATCCTCCTACTTGGTAAATAGGAATGGCAGCTGTTCATAGGTAGGCCGTATTAAGGCTGAGCATGAGACGGTAAGCGATCTCAACCCCAGACAAAGCAGCCTACCACACAAGACTGCGGCTTGAAAAGCACTCCAGCCCTACCCCATGACAGGAACAGGCCAGTCTTCAGGGCTGAGAAGTGGGTAGAAGCCCAGGCCCTGGCTCTTTTAAGTCCTGGAAGGTGGGTGGGACTGACTAGGAACACCTAGCCCGCCCAGATAAGAGGGTGGCAAGCGCCTGGCACCAGCTCCCTCACCCCATCCCCGTCTGCCCCATCTGGGAACCTTTGTACTTGGTCAGCAGTACATTTATCCAATGGGGCTATTAAGGGTCCGTTTTGACCAGCATGGAGACACAGAGGTGAAGGAGGACTTGAGACACAGAGGTGAAGGAGGACTTCCACTTTGTGAAGATCATAGTCACACAGACAAATCATTACACAGAGAGAATAGGGCTGAAGAAGAATGTGCTGGGTAGGAATGCAAGTCAGGGCTATCTTTCTGGGAACACCCAATGGGCCAGAAGGCACTGGGCATCTCCTTGGTTTAAAACGATCTTTATACTATCAAACAGCTTAGTCTCTTAGATTCAAAGCAGTGTAATGGTTTACTCTACAGCCACCCATGGGAATATCTAGGAAGAGTAAAAGACAGCAGCAACTGCCTTCCTTCCAGCCAGTATGGTTAACACTGCAGGATGCACAGTTGAAAACCACACCAGTCACCCAATAGAGAGCGGGTGACAAATACACAGGAGCTTGCCAATGGGACCATGCCACCCACACAGCCAACTGCATAGACTGAGAAACCAGGCAGGCCCCTTGTTCTAGGGGAAGTGTTCAGAGGGAGAAACGGGGCTTGTCCTCTGCCAGGTGCCTGGCCTGCCATAGGAGACAAGCTCCTGGTATTCAAGATAGTACATACAGGTAAAATTCAACCCCCTCACCCTGTGTGGGCCAGATAGGGAAGGCACTGGGCTGTGTCCTCTCTGAAGCCCATACCAGGGCCAGCAAGCAGAAGAGATCAGGACAGCTGGTGTAACCTGTGCTCCATTTGCAAGCAGGAGCCACAGAAGAGGGTTTGGGCTTTACACACAAAAGCAGGAAGCAGAGTCACCTTCTGCCCATCAGCGGGATACCCTTTATGTTCCACTCACAGCATGGCCGAGGCTGTGGGCCAGGGGTTCAGAACCAATCCACCAAAGAAAGCCTTCGGCCGGGCGCTGGTGGCTCACGCCTGTAATCCTAGCTACTCAGGAGGCTGAGATCTGAGGATCGCGGTTCAAAGCCAGCCCGGGCAGGAGAGAC